TTAAGCCATGCTAAAGAGATAGGTAGAAATTATTCCTTTAATGAGATACTGTAATTTTCCTTCCCAGCATTCCTACCCCCAGTGTAGTCCCTACAAACTGAGCAGTCATGAGGTTTGGCTGTGTCTGCGCACCTTTTGGAGTCCTAACTCAGAAGGGTGGAAATTTCCCTTTTTTTTTCTGTTTATTTCAGATGCTGACCAGAACCTGAGTGTGATTTTTCTGGTACCTTGGGCTTCCTCACTCTAAAACTCTCCTCCCTGCAATGTGGTTGACCTCCGGCTTGGAGCTCACACAACATGGCTTTTCTCCTCCATTCTCCTCAGGGTAGCTGCTGAGATTTACAACTTATTTGCCATGGGGTTTTTGTTTGTTTTCTTTTAAGCACTAATGAAAATGTCCTTGAGCTTTTATTTGATTCCATTCTTAAATTCTTTTATTAATGAGACTAAGAATCTGAAGAAGGAACCAGATTTCCCTAGTATCAAAGAAACCAATTCAACCAGTGAGCACCCATCTATTAAAGTTTCCAGAACCTCCTCAAATAGCCAAACCAGCTGGGACCCAAGTGTTAAACACCTGCGCTTATGCTGGGCATTTTACATTTGGAGAATTATACCAAGATTTACCAAGTACAGCTGAGGGGCTGTTGTCTTTAACAACTTTTTGGAGAGATTCTATGATCATATCTGTAATAAATTATTATCTGAAATCACTTAGTTGAAAAATCATAGGAAGGGCAAGAAGCGAGCCACACACTTTATTCCTTCTCACATTACTCATCTACCTCTTGTACACATCGGCATGTCGGCACCTTTACTGTTGCCATAAAGACACTGAAGCTAAGGAATGAGGCTTCCTTTCGAATCTCTTTTAGCCAATTCCACAGCTCTGGGAAGACACGAGAAAACTTTACATTTGTTTTTTTAGCCGACTTTTATTAGTCAAATGAAGCAATTTCTTCTAAGCAGGAGAAGTACACTCCTGGCACATACGCAAAGGAAGCAAGAATCAGAAATCTGTGGTAAACAACACAAATACTTTGGTTTAAATTGAGTCAATCAGTTCAGAAGTCCTTTATCCCTGAACAAGTTCCTGTTTTACTTTAAAAGATCATTTGAATTATAATAAAAGAATGAGAAAGAAAGTCTGAATTTTAACAATCCTCATTTTATTCATAGATCAAATAAAAGAGATTTGTTATGGGGGAGAGTTTGCAACATTTGGTTCTAATTGAAATTCTGTGAATTTGAATAGTGAAAAGGCTCCTTTCTTCACCTCGGCTTCCTAGTGAAGTGTCACCTGTGCTATAAAAGAGAGCTGGCTAGAGTAAAGAAGTGCCCTAACAAAGGAAGGACCACTTTCATTTGCCTATTAAGATTAGAATTTCAGCCTTTCTATTTTGTGCAGTGTGTCCAAAATGCTCAGAAACTACTTTATCCAAGTACGTCTTTGTAAAAGTAATTTTCACCTTCTTATAAGTCCTTCCATTAAAATGGCTAGAGCTTTGACTTGTTTCTAAGCACGGGATTAAATTGAATCTTCTGCACTGTAACCCATGCACCTCCGGGAGCTAAAGGACAGAGAGTTTCCTCTAGTGGGCTTGCAGTCTACCCCTGCCAATCCTTGTGCTCCATCTAAAAAAATTAATGTTGATATGAACTTGGGTTTCCTTGAAAGTAGATTATTCTGAATCAAATCTCCAGGTGGGCATTATTCTGACTAACACTGTGATCACACTCTTGGGGAGCTCTTGAGGCACACAAAGAGGAACAGCCACAGAAAGAAAGGAGAGGTGTGTTGTTTGAAGCCCCTGATTGTGAGAATCCGTTACGTCATGACTACATGAAGGTACATGTTGGTATTTCCTAAGACTTGTCTGAGGAATGATTACTACAGTCAGTACTAGTTGTTGCTGTGCATTTTATGTGTTCAGTCTTGAATGTAAGGATCCCACAGTCACAGTGTAGTCATCCTAGTCTCATAGTTGGGAACATGCTGACATGATGGTACTCGTGTACCTACATGGAGTATTTATGAAACGTATGAATTTTAATCCTTGTTTTCTCCCTCCATCTCTGTCAGCAAACTTCAGCTGACAAGTTTGTGGTTAGAACACTAACACAGGTAGCTAGAACCACTGGCCTTGTGTCCTGAAAAAACTTCTTCAATTCTGTTTGTCTTCGATGGAGACCTCTGCAATGATTTTCACGGAGGATGTTTTTAGCATTTATTTTCTTTCTACATTTATAATAATTTACCTAATTTCGATATTATACTGTTTCCTTCTCATTGTAACTCACTACCTAAGTTATAAAAGATGATCGCTTCCTCCTTACTGGGTCCAGACTTGGAGACTTAAGTCCTCTGGATCAGGCTACAGCCTAAATAAACCTGCTTCCCTCCTTATCTGTCTCCCAATCATACCCTTTTGTATGTTCTTATTATGAGCAAAACTATGCTCTCCTTGTTTTGTAGGGACAGAGGTTGTGGTGATTTGAATGAGAATGTTCCCCATGGATTCCAAGTATTCGATGGTGCTATTCTTAGGAGGTTTTAGGAGATGTGGCCATGCCAGAGGAAGCACATCAGGAGGGCATGCTTTGAGAGCCCTTAACCCTTGATGGCTTTCCAGTAGCTCTCTGCTTTCTGTGCCTGCTTAAAGATGTGATCAGCTCAGCTTTCTGTTCCAGCCCCTCTGCGGCCACGTCCCCTGGCTGTTATGGACATTTATCCCTTTAGAAACACAAGCCAAATAAATTCTTCTAACAGTGCACTTACGCATAGTGTCTTAACACAGCAATAGAAAAGCAACTAATACAGAGGGGAATAGATGTGTCAGAGTCTGGCATCTTGACTACTTCTGCTTTTCTAACAGAGGACAAAGCCCAAAATAGATTTGAATTTTCAAAGGTCTCTGGTTACACATAAGTAGCTGTGACAAAGAAGCTCATAGCATGTCAGTGCAGATCTGCAGTCACAGGTAGGGTATGGTAGGACAGGAGAGTGTAGGGTAGGATTGGGTGGGGTAGGGTATGGTAGGATATAGTTGGGTAGGGTAGGGTAGGATAGGGATGGATAGGGCAGGGTGTTGTAAGTAGAGGAGGTAGGAAGCTTAGGATAAGGTAGGGTAGGGTAGGAGGAGTAGGAAAGGGTGAATCAATGCTTATCTGAGTTGTTTAGTCTGAAATGCTGCCATCATTGATGCTATTTCAAGACTTTAAGTGGTCATTCAAAAGCAAACATGAGGACAGCTACTCATCTTCTAAAGATGTGCTGAAGACTGACTTCAGCACATCTATCTGGTTAACCAGATCCTTAGACAAATAGAACTTGCAATTTGAGATGGCAAATGACCAGACCTGTGAACATAAACACACACACATACATCATACACACATGTACACACACACACACATCATACACACATGTACACACACATACACACATGCACACAGACACACACCATACACACATGTACACACATCATACACATGCATACACACATACACATCAAACACATTTACACAGAGCACACACATCGTACACACGTACACACATATACACATGTACACACATCGTACACATGTGTACAAACATCATACACACATGTATACAGAATATCATACATGTACACATACCTCATACACACATCACACACATCATACACACATGCACACATGCACACATGTGTACACGGCTCATACAGAATATCAAATGTATACACGCCTCATACATCATGCATACATCATACACATGTATACACAACATATACACATACACACATGTACACACATCATACACACATGTACACACACCACATGTACACACATGCACACACACACACACTCATCAACTGTGGTCACAGAAGGAAAACAGAGCACTCCCGTGAAGAGTAGAAACTTGGAAAGAAGGTGACAGAGCTTCCAGATACTTGGAAATCAGCCCTGCACGAAGGCTGACTCTAATGTGCTGAGACATTTCGATGTGATGAGTTGCTGGAACTCTTATTTATTGAAACGTCGGGGTATTGGGGGCCCCAGAAGCTGATGGAAATGAGGAGGAAATCCTGGAAAGGAGGGAGCAAGGAGGAGAAGGTAAAGCTTTAGCCAACCCTAAACCATACTGCCAAAGGGTGCACCAGCAGCAGTTGAACTAAAAAAGCCCACAGTAAATGGAGATTTGAGCTATACACAAAACATTTCCAGCTGGAGTTCAAATAACTTATCTGACAAATTGCATGGACTCAAAACTGTCTCTTCTACTGTAATACTTGGTCAGACAGGCTTTATAGCAATCTGACATGGCAAAGAAGATGTGAACCCTTTTCAGGGAAAGAATATTATTTATATTAACCACTCAAGTTATTCAATTATCTACTATAGTAATTCCTGTGCTAAAATGCATAGAAATGCTCACAATAAATTCAAATATGGAGAAGTTTAACTTGGTACAGTTTGCAAAGAAATTAAGACCCATAAATATGGAACATTTAGATTTGAAGAATATAATACTTGAACTTAAAAAAAAAAGAGAGAAACATAGAAAACAGACCATAGAATAAGCTGTACCACAGAAAGGAGATAGTTGAAAATATAGCAACCTTGAACATAGATCAACAGAAGATATCCAGTTTGTAGACAACAGATGAAATTATATTGAAAGTAAATGAACAGGACCCAGGAGCCTGTGGAAACCTATCAAAATGCCTAATATTCCTATAATTAGAACCTCAGTGGGGAGAAAAGTCTGAGGGAAGTCAGGGAAATGGATCTGTGTTAAGCAAACAATCACTGATAGTTTAATTTGTGAAAAATAGACATCCAGACATTTAAGAAGCTCAGCAATGCCCATAAAACAAGATAATTAGAAAGAAGAACACATTCTGAGATATCAGCATTGTATCAGTAAGAACAGAAGTTAAATGGAAAAAAGTAGAAGGAGAGAGAGAGAAATGACACATCGTATGGAGAAGACATGACTAAATTTGTGTGGTACACACCGGGTCCTCGGGGTTGTACTGAATGACGTATTCTATCTGTCCATTCGGGCCGTCATCTATGTCAGTAGCTCCATTATCTCCTGAAAATCCAGTGAATATTGTGGTGCCGACAGGAGTGAGCTGAAAGGCAAACAAGAAAAAGTGTGACCTCTGGAGAATTTCATCATCTGCACAGTCTTCCAGCATAAAGCCAGGCCTTCCTCACACAAGGAGAGAGAAGTCAGCCACCAAAACATGAAATTTCAGCATTAATAAATACATAAATAAACCTGTGCACTCCTTACACAGGAGTCCTACAAGGTCTGAAATTTACTTCAAAGCCTGGATTGGATTAAGAAATAGAAAGGCTCAGTGTAAAGCACATTTCGACTGTTTGTATCCATTAACATTTTAGCATCTGTGGAGAAAAAAATGCATCTGTTTTCTCCTGTAAAAGTCTCATACATTAACTTATTCAAAGACTAGCATTTAAATTGTGCAAGGAAGCTTATCTTAAAATCGAAAGTTATTCAAAAAGAGTCACAAAATCCAGGCTGGTAATGATATGCTAGTAGTAAGTTAGTAAATGGTACATTTCTAATACCTAGTCCCATAAAATAAACCCTATCTTATATTTCTCTGATTACCTTTAAAAAATACACTTGGTCACAAAGCCTGTCAAAGGCTGACACTGAACCACTGGAAGAGAAACACATTTGTATATTTTTGAGTGTAAGGTTATCACAGCGCTCAATTAAATTGCAATTGTTCTCATTTTAAGATTTCAGTTCAGGATTTGGGGTGGTATACATATCTTTCACAATAGATTATATTTTTCATATATATTTCTATTTTAGACATTCTAAGCATAAATGCAATTCCATAAGAAATTTTATTATTTTGTTTCTGTGAAAGGAAAAGGAAGGAAGCAATTGCTTAGTTGCATCAATAGAAGAAAAAGTATTTGATTTCCACACTGATATGCAGAGGATATAAATGACCTCTCAATGAAATTTTAAGCTCATGTTAGAAGGGGACTTAGGGACCTTGAAAACTAAATGGCATTCATTGTGGCCACAAAAGATATTCAAATTTTCTTCCATTCATGGCACTGTCTCTCTTTGTAGTTTCACTAAAAATGAGATTCATCTCCAACTTTGGGAAAGTGCTGTGGTTGTCACTGTGGAGGACTAGGGCCTCAGCACATGTATGGTGAACTTTCTCTGCTCCATACTGTGTGTTCATAGTAAACATCTTAGCACAGATGGTTCCCACTCATTTCTACTACTATGACACTAAGCATGCAGGCACACATGCAAATATGCCATAATATAGTTCTTCATGACCTATTGCTAAGATTCAGACCTGTCAGGTAAATGGGAGAGCTTGCCACTCAAGCCAGAGGACTGGTTTCAGATTCACAGAATATCTGTAAATGCCAAGCCAGTGGACTGGCAGTCTTGGAAGGTAAAGAAGGTCACAAGAAAAAGCTGGCTAGTGAGACGGGCGGTCTAGGCAGTCTCTGGGTTTAACTGAGCAAACCTGCCTCAAAGAATAGGATGAAGAGCAATTCAGGGAGATTGTTGAATCTGTTAGACCTCCAGAAATATGCATGCAAGTACACACACATGGTATGCCCACACACATGGAAACACATATACACATATGCATGCCCACCGCACACACAAATGTAAAAATTAGCAGATTTCAACCCGCTATTTAAATTAATTTCTTGGTGCATGTCTCCATCAGAAATATGCATACATCTCTGTATCTACACACCTTTACACAAATGTGCTGTATAGGTATAAATATATACAAGCTGTTGTATAGCAAGTTACCCTGAGAAAAATCTTCCATCTTGGAGGGAGCTTAGTGAACTACAGGATATTCCAAAGGGAGGTAAACAGGATATTTTAAAAGGAGGTGAAACATTCCATCCTTCAGGGAAGCTTGCTAATCCCAGGAAGTAAACAACTCAATAGCTTCAAGAAGTCCCTGAAATTGACAAGGTTTGCTAGGCCCCTCCCTCTCTAAGCATATATAAACCCTAAGGAATACTGAGAGACACTCTCAGACTAGCCCAGCTGCCTAGAAGAGGCTCAGACCATCTGAAAGTCACCCACCAACCTGTCCATCTGCCCGCAGGTTTGCAGTATGCTCTAGGTTTCCTGATCTCATGAGCAATCACCCATGCTGTGGTGGGCTTTTGGTGATGCAGCTGTTTTTGAATCATTTCTGCTCCTGTAGTAAACCCTCACCCAATACTCCTGCAAATAGCCCCAATAAAACTGACTGGTTCACCAAGATGTAATTTGATGGTATCCTTACTCCGGTCTGTCTGAGTAGATGTTTCTTCACCAGTCCTCAGGAACAGTGCCAATAAATAGAATCACACCACCATTGTGTTATTACTAAAGCCACAGTTATTGCTGCACTGTAATTTCCAAGTATCGTGGAGGAGTAGAAGTCTTGTAACTAATTTTCTACTAGAATCTGTGCTGTCCTGTGTATTATTCATAGTTCTCAGGATACATCTGATAGAATATGTGAATTGCAGATGAGCCATAAGCCTCATTAGGGAAAGCCATAAATCCCTTTAAGTGTCTAACTGGCCCTAAAATGGCAGCCTGGCCTTGCTCAATCCTGGCCTCGCTCAAGCTTTATCAACTGGTCACTTCCTGGACTGAGTGAGAGACTGTGGAGCCCACCTGTCTCCTTTAGTGCTATAGATAACTCACCCACCTGTCTGAGAAAAGAGACCCTCAAGGACACCAGACCCTGGCACCGAGTTAACTCTTGCAGCTGTGTGCAGCAGAGGTCCTATATAAGACCAGACTGCTCCCCCTTCAGAGCGCAGATAATCATTCCTCCAGGAACAGCTTTTATCAGCCCTTTGCTGGGCTTGCTGAATGCAGGGAGCACATTATTTGTCTGTTGCAGGTCTGGCTCTGGTTCTTATTTCTAAACTTTAAACTCCTTCCTTTTTCCCATCTCCTAAATCTAACAACATCTTCCACACAAAGGGACATGTTCTCTATCTTTTAGTATCTTTTAGTATTACAATATACCTCATTTCGATTTGGTTTCTGAAGAGCGTCTACATGTCAGATCAGCCTGGGCAGCTGCGTGAGGATGCCATTTGTTTACTTACTTAGTCTTTTCTCACAAATGGCTTACAGAGCTATTGGAAAGTAAATATATTACACAGTTAATTGAAAAGAAAAGGTTATAGAAGTCACAACCCAGAGAATAACACATTTTAAGAAGATTCCAGTAGTAAGGTCTGCATCATAAAGTAATGTTGAATGCCTGGGGGACAGACAGGTACAGCCTGATTCGGGCATCATACAGTATGTGCATGTGTGACGCTTACACAGGACTCCATCAATATCTACTATTTTGTTTTTTACACAATTTATTTAAATAAAAGACAACTTTTTCACATACTAGGGTTGAGATGGTACAGCAATTAAGAGCACTGGCTGCTCTTACAGAGGTCTCTGCTTCATGTCCCAGCACGCACATAGCTGCTAACTAATGTCCAGGGCTAGGGAATCCAGCACCCTCTTCTGACTTCCATGGGCATGACATGAGTGCAAACACTCATACACATAAAATAAAAATTAACTAATTAATTAATCAAGAAAGCAAAAAAAAAAAAAATCTAGAGTTGATGATTTGGTCTTGATTTTGTAAAGTTATTTTGCCTTAAAATTACATAATTGCTCTCTTTATGAACAGTAAAGAGTGGTTAGAATGTAAATATGATATAAATTGTGCTGTTTATTGTGCAGGTCTTTTGTGACACATACTTTCATAAGCCAGTCCTAAAATTCTGAACAATATTCCCCAAAGGGAATATTAGTCTTCAGTAATCTGACTTTGATCCCCCCACCCCACCCAGGAATCACTATGTTCATTGTTTGATTTATGTTTTTACACAGTTCCCATCATACCCTATGTGGTTGTTAAATTGTATGATATTGCTATGGATGCTGAATTAATGAATGACGACCCCAGAGCCTTGAGGAAGACAGTGATGGGTCCTGTACATCTGTGATTACATTTTTTAAATCAGTACAAACTATTCTAAGTGCTTCTGCATAAAGAAATTTAGCATGCAACTTGAATTTCCTAACACATATCTCACAGTAACAGTGTAAATCCTGCTGCAAGAAGCTGTGGGCAGGAAGCCCACATTTCCTTATGAGGAAATTCCATTTTCTTTTGTTTAGGGATACTAGCACAGCATGAGAGCAAAATAAGACTTCAAACGTGGCCTTATTTGAACTCAAGTAGAACTCTATCTGACACGAAACTTCACCACTCTAAATGTATCTGTAATGACTTCAGAGAAGCTTGGTGAGAATCAATTTTGTCGTTATGAAAGTTCTTTTCATTAGTAGGATAATTTACAAATGAGGAGTCCATGCACACTGAGAGCTCGCAGTGTGATCGACAGCACTGGGCTTCCAATTGGAGTGTTAGAAAAGACCCAGTAAACCAAAAATATGATGTTCAAGTGTGTGTACAATCCATTTATCCATTTAGTTATACAATCTATTTTTAATTATTTAATTGAAATAAATTCTATGTGTATTATGTACTCTATAAAGTTTTAAGTAATGCATGCTGTGTGCTATGTATGTGTAGTGTGAGAGGATTGAATTTAACTAATTAAAAACTATATTGCATCATCACGTGTATAATTTTTATTGGGACATTTCACAATCAGTTTCTGCATATTCAGTAACTACAGACACATGCTGCACAATATATCTTTAAAATATTTTCCTCATTCCTAAATGTGATTATCATAGAAAGAAAACTTGACATTGACCTGGGCAAATGGTTTTTTGAAATGAATCCAAAGCACACAAAACAAAAGTAAAAATAGAAAAACGGGATTATATTAAAACTAAAAGTTATTCAAAGCAAAAGAAATGATTTAAAAAACAAAGGGAATTTTTAGAATAGGAGAAAATCTTTTCAAATCAAACATCTGATAAAGGGTTTAAATATAAAACATAACAACCTAAAACACCTCACTAGAAAGAAAATAACCCCATTTAGAAAGAGGTAAGTGTTCTGAATATATGCTTATTGAAAGAAGACATACAAATAAAAACAGGTATATG